ACGTTGTTATGATATATATTTTCTTTTGCCAGGTCACATGGAAATAACTGCCATTTGGGTTATATTTGTTTAAAAATATAAAGCATAGTGCCCCTTCCAGTTGCAAAGCTTTAATCATGTAAAGTATACTAGATGCCATATTTTTTAATAGGAAGTACTCTCTCTCTCTCTCTCTCTCTCTCTCTCTCTCTCTCTCTCTCATATATATATATATATATATATATATATATTTCTTTTCAAAGAAATTATATATAAATAATTATTTTCAAAAGAAAGATCTGATCCTGAAAACATGTCTAGGGAATGGAGGTTGTGATGGGGTGAGTTTCTACTAATTAAAAATCACTGATAATAAGCTCTGTTTTAAAAAAATACTAAAAACTGAAAAATGGCTTAAGGAGTTTAAAAAACATTTTGGGGGCATTCAGGCTTAGCAACATGTATACTAAGTTTCAGGCTGATTCAATTTGAAACGGTCAAGATATGAAACCATAAAAAATGTACGTAAATACTCTGCATATCAAGGGCTGTTATGCAATTACATGGTTTCAGTATGGTTCTGACTGAGAGAAAACGGTTAGAAGAGAGATCTACTATGCATGTTTAGTAACTAATTATAAACTTTTATTGTTTAATTTTATAAAATACAATACATTTGCTGGATGTCTTGCTGCTCTGCAAACTGTAAGGCTCCCCCTACAACCTCCCCCTAACCAAGCTAAATGCCTTTGGCCGCAGATTTTCAAAAATGTATCAGAAATCCTGATGGGTTTTTTTTTTCATTTTTGGCCAATCTCCAAATTATAAACAGCTGAACTAATTTGAATAAAGTTTTCAGTACAAAAAGGTACATCTGGGCTGACAAAATTGTGTGCCAAGTTTCAGCCCAATGTGACTTGAGACAACCATGATATTAAACACCCAAATCTAAGAATTGGAATGGAAACAGAGACAGACTCTCAACTATAGTGGCCCCTTCAGGATTTGTGATTATAATATAGTGGTTATAAGGATCCAGATGATTAAAGATTGACTTCATAGAAACATATTTTAGTTATTTAAATCTCTTTGGCTTATTCTCCCAAGGATGTACAGGAAATTTATATGGATAACTCCAATTAGTGTTAGTGGCATTGATCAGAGACTTTAGACCCTTTTATCTGTGGTTCTTATCCTCTTATTATGTTATATTAATGTATTTTTTGTGCAAATATTCTGGATATGATAGTGTGTGTTCTTGCAAACAAAAGGCAAAAAAGCCCTGCAACAAATTTATGTTAATTACTGGAAGAACCTATTGCCAGTAAAGCACTTAAGTTTAAACTTAGTCTTAATGCTTACACTTTATTGGAGTAAAGGGCCTTAAGTATTTGTGCATATCCTTTGCTGACTAGACAGATGTAAGCAAGATTTACTTAACTGGTACTATGATGACTGCTTCTTAGTAAAGAACAAAAAAAAATATCTTTTTTATTATATTTTTCTATGTTCTTTACTAAGAGGCAGTCATCATCAGACCAGTTAAGTAAATCTTGCTTACATCTGTCTATTATTATTATTTTGTAGTTGTCTCTCATAATTACTAACACCAAAGTGGGTCCATCTGTAAAGTGCAAATAGGTTTTTAAAGCAGGTTAAAAACTTTTACAAATTTAAATGTTGATAATATTTTCTGGATGTTAGCTTTAAGAAAACTTATGAATTCAACAAAATTTATAGGAAAAAATAACAGTATAGATTTAGTATTTTATTAAAAAACTATTTTGGGGGGGGAGAAGAAAAGCAACATAGCAATGTTGCTTCTAGGTAAGCAAATTCAGGCCTATAAAAATAGTCACCTTGATTTCTTACACTCATAAGCATGGTACCTTGGTTATATTTTGAGATGAACTTCTCCACTGTGGTTATATAGAGAACTGGAAATCAGACATTTTGAGACTGAGTCTGCCACAGTCTTTCTGTGTGACCTCAAATCCATTTAAAAGTCTTTGTGCCTTAATTCACACAATATATTTTTAAAAATGGAATAATAGTACTGACTTGCTTTACAGGGTTATTGTGAGGTTAAATTGATTAATGTTTCTATAACACACAGGGATCCTCAGGTGGAAAAAATATCACCTCTGATACTTTACCATTATCTATTGATGACCTCATGTGATATAATGGTAACATATCAAGAACTTCAGTGAAATGATGGCAGTAGTTGGGTTTGCAGAGCGGTATATGAGATATACATTCACATCTTGTATTAATTTTCATACAAGGCATGCAGATGAATCTCTTGCATTACTCTGGAAATCTCAACATACATACATACATACATACATGCATACATATATATATATATAGAGGAAGAGAATAAGTCATAAAAACTAAATAAAGCAGAATCACATCATGTTTGTGTGTGTATAGATTGTAAAATTATATATATACAAAGTAAGCACTAACATAGTTGATATGATTCTACTTTATTTAGTTTTTATGACTTATTTTAAATGAACCAGTATGTTGCAATTCATTGTGTTGTAATTCATGTGCAGTCTCAATAGGACCTTCCTTCTTTATTCAAATGAACTATTACTCTTTTCAGTAATGCTCTGCTATAGTTAAATCATCAATTTGAACAAAAAATTGAAGTGCGATTGACGCAGGGTGCTGTCGGCACTCTGTTCCACCATCTCATACATGCGAAAAGATGGCACAGATCTAGTTTATCCTCTGTTCTAATAATATATATTATTTAAAGTCCTCCATGATTTTAGTAAAGAACATTTTTCTGCATACAAGCATTAAGCGCACAGCCATAAAAGAGTGGAAAGACTTACTCAGAGAAGACTCCACCCTCTTAAACGTACCACACCAGAAACTCTTCGGTTGAAAGACAAAAAATAGAAATGGAAGGGAGTAGTTCTGCAATTGAGTCTGAATCTTGGCCATATAAAGTCATTTCCATTTGGAAATACCTAACCCTTCACAGGGACGAAACTGGGTTTAGTTTAGTGAAGCTTTTATTATGCTCTGAGGAAAATATTTCAGCAGCCAGGTGACGTTTTGCAAGGATGACTTGGCTGGGTAGCAACAAAAAGCATGAGAAATTTTGGTTATTTATTAGCTGAATATTCATTCCAACTTGAATTTCATTTAATAAATGCATTTACACAAGTTAGGCATTTGCTGAAGGCCGTTGTTCACTGTTAGGTGCTGCTTTCATCTAGATAGAGAAAAAATGTACTATATTCCTAATTATGATTTTGGGGGTTGGTGTAAGAAGGTGAGAGAGAGATTATCTTGATGACAATCTAGATTTTATTATATCACTTCAAAGCAGTGCAACCTGCTATACTAATGAAATCGTGTTCTTTTTTAAAAGAGCAATTGTTAGCCTGACTTTGTGCTCACTAAAAACATTTCCCCAATCTTGTTAAATTATTGCACTCATTTGAGATTTTTATGGCTGTGCATCTTACCAGGCCTCGTTTCTTTACGTTTCATTCATTTTCCTTGTATTGATGATTAATGGAGGATGTCGAACGTTAGAGTGAGCAGGCATCAGCAAATGCAAGATCATAATTAGTTTAGCTGACGAGGGCCTCTGATAGCACTTGCATCTGGATGGAAAAATTACCCTATAGGGAACTGGCTGCTCACCAGGTCTTTTTAGTGATACATTGTGAAACACCCGATGAATCAAATGCCCTTTCAATGCCAAGAAAGTGTTCCAGTCTTGAAGCCAAAATTATGTCTGCAGAAAGCTTTCCATTTGAAATGTATCAGAGTACAATTATAACCATTGTATTTTTTTGGCATGAATACTACTCTCCTACAGTATGGACTAAAGTTAAATACATTACTTAAATTTTATGAAACCTTGAAATTTTGACTTATAGTGTTAGTAATTTTTAATTTATAATGAAATTAGTTTTCACCCAGACTGTTCTCCTACTATACTAGCTTATTCTTATCTGAGTTGAAGAAGATTTGTTCTGGAATACTTTCCTTTACACAAAGAAAGCAGAGTTGAAATTCATAGTTTTTTCAATAAAAGAATTCCATTTCCTGCTTATTATTATTTGTGCCCACAGACACAGCCTGACTTTTGTTTAAATGAGAAGTTTAATGAAATCATTACTCCATAGAAAGAATTTAACGAGCAATACTCATAAACGTGTCTACTTCTAATATTCTTGGATCATTATTAAAGCTGATGAATGCACAGCTCAGTCTGGTTAAAAATCAATTTGTATTTGGGAGAGCTGTGCTGTGCCTTTCTTTCCTTGACAAAAATAAAATAAATAAATCAATCCATTGATGAGACCATGTTGTCTGGGTTTCGGATGAAGTTCAAAAGAGGTCTCATTAGGAATACTGTACTTTTATTTGCTTGGCAGAGGTTACTCCTGCTTCTCAGTGGGCTGTGGGAAATGCATAGCAGTTTATGCAGATCGTAGAGTTAAGTGGAAAAGACTGGAATTGAAAGTTGTGCATTCTGTTAATGAAGTATAAGCTCTGTTACAGGAATTAGTATGAGGTAGATAGAAACTGGAATTAATTAGAAATGGTGCCTTTAGCCTTGTTTTTACTGATCATGTTTTAAAATAGAGCAAACCAAAAAGAAATAATTTGCTGTAGAAGTACAGTGAACAAAACAGGAAAACTTTGCCGAGTGCTCTCTGTCAGTTTCTAAAGAGCGTATTTCAGAATTCACTGTTTAGAAACCATCATTAAAGGCACAAAACCTAAAGTTCAAAAAGTTAAAGCTGTTATTCTGAAAAGGCTTTGGTGTTTCGCACACCTCATCCATCACTCTAGGGTTAATTATAATGAAAATCAGTGGTGCCTATTAAGCACAATTGAACCTGACCTCATTATGGGCAGTGTGGTTTTATACTGTCATTGTTGCCAGTCTACAGACAAAACTCCTGTGTTGATTTGTCCTAACTCCACAGATCATGTGACTCACCTCTGACCTGTTTTTTTTTTTTCCCTCCCTGTTTCAGAGACGTAGAGGCTCGGGTGTTTTTTGTGCCAATTGCCTGACCACAAAGACCTCTCTCTGGCGAAAGAATGCAAATGGTGGATATGTATGCAATGCGTGTGGCCTCTACCAGAAGCTTCACTCGGTAGGAAGAACTTACTAGTTTGTTCAGGGAAAAAGGGTTATACAGCTAAGCTGAAGCTGGGCAGCCGTAGTCCTGTCTGGTTGTGTGATTAGCACCACTCCCTGGCCTGCAGTTAATTTCCTAACTGGGTTTTTTAGTATGGTCACTTTGGGATCAGATGTGATTCATTATGAAACAACCTGGGATGCTGTGGGGAGACATGTTTGAGATCACCAGTGATGTATTTAATTATTCTGATACAAAATGAGGGAAACTGGTTTATTTTCTGGGAATTTCATTTAAAGGAATACAGTATGTTGTAATGACATTCCCCAAATGTAAATATTGTCATTTTGGTAGGAATCAGTAACAAAAGTTCATAAAATTAGAGATTTTGTATAAAAAATGCCCTTATCCCATACAAGTATATTTTTCTTCTTTCTCCCCACCAACCTTTCATAGTTACAATGAATTTCTGAAGGTGTATTTTTAATTTTTTTTTTTTTGACACGGAAAAGCGAGTTCTGTTTAGCATTTATGACTTACTGCAAAGTACCAAGAGCTTTTGATTTTCAATTAAGCCGGTCAATTGAAGGCACTTTGTACTTTTCAAGATTTTTCAAGTTTCAGTGTCTCACTGGACTGGGCACAATGTAAGTAATAACAGTATTACCAACAGTAATTGGTAAAAACAGGGCTGTACTTCCTCTTACCAGCACTGGGCTTGATCCTGAAAGGCGATCAACACTCTGGCCCTGATCCAGCCATGCTTGCTTGAGTGGCTTTCTGGTTTGGGGCCAAAGTGCTCACAATTTTATACGATGGATCCCAAGGGTCAGATCTTATACCCACTAACTTGTAATAGAAACTCTTGGGAGAGTCAGGTAGTCAGGATTTGATCCATTAACTATGGCAATTAATCTTTACAGCATCCCTGCGAGGTAAGTAAGGATTCTTGTTCTACAGTGAAAACAAGGTACAGTTTGGAGTTGTGCTAAGACACTATACAAAGCTCAGCAAAATGTAACTTTATTGCTCTGAGAGCAACAATTTCAAATGGGACCTGTTTGCATGCTGAAGTGCCGAGTATGTAGCCACATAATTGCAGTTTTTGGCACATATGCATGGTTTGAATTCAGCACAACCCACACTAGCTTACTGAGCATGCTTAACATGCAGTGGGCCAGCTTCAAAGGCAGAGCTGAAGATTACTTATCCTTCTGCTTTTTTGTGTTCAGCGCACATGCCCTGGGGTGATATTATTCCACCGCAGGAGGAAAGGAATCCCAAGCTATGCATAAGTGTCAAAAAAGTGATTTTGGAACCTACATCCCATTTTTGAATGTGACATAGGCCCCTTTGTAAGATACAGAGATGCTCTTTTTGAGACTTAAATGGTACTTACTGGGTGCATCTGAATGAGATGTCTCCTGCAGAGCTGACTAATTATTTCCACAGTAAAGTCTCAACATCTACATGTGCATCCCTATTAGGCCACAAAACCTAATTAACTCTGCCATGGGTTAGCATTCATAATATCCTATGGCAGAGTTCTTTAGTGCACAGAAATGCATGTGTAGATGTTGGCAGGGCTGACTGGGGCATGAGGGTGCTCCAGTACATGGGCCCCAGCCAGCCCCTCTGCAACATGTTAAGCCGGGTTGAATCAGTGCTGGGCTGGCAGGCTGAGCCCCTGGGCTCCCTACTGGCTGGGGCTGCTCTGACCTGGCTCAATCTGCTGCAGTCCCAGGCACATGTTCAAACGTGACACCCAGGAGCAATAAACTCAGATACGATCTGCGCCAGAGTTTATTGCTCTGTGCTAATAGTATATATAGATGCACTCTCTGAGAATCTGAGAACTGAGGTGACAAAGTCCAAAGAAGTGATCCAGAACGTATCTGCTACAAAACCTATTAGATAATTGTCTGGGAGACCTAGGGTGTCTACATATGCAATTAATGCTGCTGAATAAACTCTGGGTCAGTTTGAGCCGGAGTAAACTAATCCTAACATTACTGTCTGCATGTGCGTTTAAGCACAGTCATTTTCTCCACTGTCAGATATTACCTGCATCTGACAGGACTATCCGACGGTGCTGTAAATTAGTCTACAGCAGCCCAATTGTTGCACACATGTAGATGGTGATACTTTACTGCACAGTAAATTAGTCCACTGTTCAGTAAAGTGCACATGTAGATGCATCCCTAAACACCTAACCTTAGTGTTCTGCGCATGCAAAAACAGCAGCCCAGTCTGAGGAGCTAGGCCTAAGCTCTGTCATTATCGACATGCAATGTGGAACGGTGCCTATAGATACCTGTATCCCCAGAGGATTACAATCCAGAAGGTTTGCTCATAGCATGCCTCATACATATCAATAGCATTGAGTCTATCACAAATCCTGGCAATCATAATCTCTTTCATTTATACATATGGAGTAAAGATCATGATAATGGTACCTTCTGCCTGCCCATCATGTAATAATTAAGTGATTGAACACTTGCCTAGAAACTGCAAGATCTGACTCAATTCTCACCTTGGTCTCTGGGGATTTAATCCCAATTCTTTTACCCCTCAGGATAAAACAGTTTGAGTAGAAACTGATAAAAGCTGTGTCCCTCTACTTCCTCTGCTGGAGCTAAGTTACTGTGTAGCCAAGAATTCAAGAATCATGGGGCTAGGAGAGAACAAATGACAGGCTAATTTTAAGCCAGTGGACTGAGGAGATCTGGTTTTAGGATTAGTTTTGTTAACTCTTTTACCCTGAATCACCTTGCTGGGGTCAGACATCTGATTTTCAGACCTTGTAAGACCTAAGTTATAGGTGTATAAAGGTGCCTCTCTGGATGCTTAGGAACTTAAATGTACCAAATGAAACTTAAGCTTCAGGCCAGATCCAGTATGGTATCAGCAGTGTCTAAACAAGATTTGGGGAGAATTTAGGTTAAGAGTGATTCTATTTGGTCCTATTCCACAAGCCACAAAACTTAGTAAACACCCAAGTAGAGGTGCTGCCTCCATTTTGAACTGCAGAGTGCCATAGTTGCTTATACTTGGACATGCTCGGAAACTGGGTCTGATTCCTACCAGAGCGCCATTGAGATCAAGTTTGGTTTGGGGAGACGCCTATTTGTTTCTGGAAGTATCGGATCTTAATAGATGACCACGGAGCACTCCAGTTTGCTTGGCAATATTTAATTTTAAAAAAATTGCAGCAGCACTACCCATCTTTTGCCCAATATCCTGATGATAAAGAATGCTCGCACAGAAAGTGGGGAACAGTGTTTCCTTTGGTTGTCTTGAAGTGCCACTAAGCTTTTAGAGCCTGTTGTTTCTGCCTTTGTCTATCGTATACCTCAACCCAGTCAAATCGGATCGTTATCCTGGGTAATATCCTCTTTCCTCGGTAATATCTTGGGTAATATCCTAAACAAGTTAGATTTCAGGGATATCTAACTGGATCCAAAACCAAATTGGATCTGGTTATAAGCCATTTATGAAAAAGAGACTAAGTCTTCTAAGTCACTTAAGTATTTCTTTATTTTTACCCTCAAGCCCATGCTTGGGTATCAGTTGTGTTTAAATAACAGTTATGTTCAATCAAATCCTATTACATCTCTTTTCATAAAAAAGAAAAATACTTCAATATTCTAATGGCAGGTTGACTGACATCAGTCAAAAATGCCAAATGTAACTGCTAAGTGCTCTCATTTGGGGTTAAGTAAATAATTTTTAACTCCAGAATAACCCAAACAAATAACATCAGGCTGACATTATGCAATTCATAAGCTGTCACTAGCATCTTGTTTGGAACTTGATGAAAGCAATGTTCTCTTTGGCAGACTTTTTCTTTTAATTCATTCCTTGTCAATATGCTCATTATATTTTAAGGAGGAAACTGATCTGATTATTTTAATGTCTTCTTTAAGAATATCCCACTTTTGGAAATATGTTTCAACTACTTTTTTTTTTTTTAATGTACCCTTTGGCATTCTGTCATGGCTATAAATTCAATGTAGTGAATAGATCCCACCTAAAATAATCAGTTTTTAAATTAAAAAAAAATATCCCCTCATAAAGCCCTCACAGAACATTGGAACAATCCTTATAAAAATGTATATTGCCAACAATGCTAATTGCTAGTATGTTATAAAACATTTATTTTATTACTATGTACTCAATGGAAATAATTTTAGCTCCACTGTTCAAGTATAGCAATAAGCTTGTGTTCAGTGGACACTGGCATAAAGATGTTAGTAGAACTTTTGCCAATCAAAGGCCAAGAATTTAATTAAACTTCCACACTGACATGATCTTATAGCTAGTAAATTCAGTGTAAACTCAAGTCTGTTAAGAAAAATAAGTAATGAAGAAATAACTCTTTTGAGACACTTTTTAAAACATTAGAAGTAAAATTCAATATCACCTGACCTATATTTGATAAGTGAAACATAAATTTCATTATCAATGTGTTCATACAGAATAGAAGTTGTAAATTACTTTTGTAATTGTTACTGGTTTTGTAATTGTTACAACATCATTTGGATTGTTATATAATATAAATATTTGTTCATGAGAATTAATTTTATCATATATGTAAGTAATCCTGTTAAATGAAATGACAGTACATACCTGAGTAAAATTACTCGGATATCAGACACTTGTAAGATTGGGCACTCTATAACTAAGCTTTTTATTTGATGCTTGCTATTTAAATCTCCAGTGGTTATTAAAAAGTCAGTGGGTTTTGAATAGCTCTCGCTAAGCTATAAGAAACAGATATGATCTCTCAGATATGAATGAAGGGTGAATGTTTATTTTGTAGTGGCTCCCACTCTGATTCACGCTGGCAACTCCATACCTTTGATTATACTCAAATGAAAACATTATACATTCTCCCCAAACTGAAAATCTGCAATCTCCCCAATTCTCCCCACTCTACAAATATATACAATCAGTTTACAATTTTTATAATTAATTTTCAAATTTAAGAAAACTGTATCTAGCTCTTCATAAACACTGCAGACAGCAGAATGTATACATAAGCTATATAAATTTGCAAATGTAGAAAAGTTTGTGTCTATTTTATAATGTTTCTAATCTAAAGTGATGTCAATATGGCCTCTGGAGCAAACCTATGGGAACCAATGAGAGAGAAGCTGTATCAACTTACCTTCTGTACACTCCTTAGCCAATGAATTAGGCAACAAGACTAGCTCAGACACAAATCAGAAGTGGGTCTGGGTCCATGCCCCATAGCTCTCTGTCTGGAAGGCATAACCATGAGATTGGAATACATGTTCAGGGTAGGGTTACCGACCCACAAGGATTGCCCTGGAGTCTCCAAGAACTAGATACAAATCTCTAGAAGACCAGTGAGAGTGATCTGGGAGATGAATGATAGATCATTCATTAAAATAAATATTAAATGTTGAATCCAATTTATACAGTAGTCCAGTGGGTTTTTAAAATGTAACAGTAATGTGCATTTGCTTTCATGATGTAAAGTCTTTGCACCATAATCCATAACTGATAAACACGGGCACGTTCACCTTGTGTGTTGAGGGAATGTTGGCGTTCTGGAAACCTCCTGGAATAGATTCAAACAGAGTTGGCAACCCTAGCTCGGTGCATACCTTAGCTCAGTGGGGGCCAGCCTTTTTGGCAGGCCACAAATTAGTACCACGCCCTCTCCAAGTGCCACTACCTGATCCGCTGCTCTGCTTTCTGTTTCCTGCCCCACCTGACAATGTGTTGCCTGTCCTGTCCCTGGTCTCCTGTATGCCATAGAGAGGCTGCCCATGCCACTCTGCAGGTTGGCCAGTCCTGCTGGAGCTGCCTAATTTGTGGTATAAAGAATATCTGGAGCAGTCAAGAATATACATGACTTATCTCTCACTGGTTCTTGTGGGCTCCCTCTGGTGGCTGAGTAGTCACAGCTTGAAATATGAGTACCTTTGGCTTCTAGCCTGAATTGTGCTATATTTCTATCTCCTTTTCCCCACCTTGGTTCTAACTGCATACAGAAGATGTTCCAGAATATGCATTGTGGTATCTGGCTGCTTTTTTGGCCTTGGGCAGATCACAGTGACTTCATATCATAGCTAAAGGGTTATATAACTTGACTTGATCTTTTTTTCAGTGAATTTTCTGAAACATTTTAAAAATAATTACTCACATATTTAGGGTTATTTGCCCACATTTAGTGAGCTGGTCAAATAATTCCCATATCCATATACTAATATTAATTTATATAACATGTGAGCTGTAATAATGTATCTGACAATTTAATACATTTTTAAAATAAAGTATTTGACATTTTTCAGTAAGCATCAATGTGATGCATTTCTATAACAACTGAGTCTCGGTTGGAAACTAAGCAGATGAGTTGAATCATTCATGCTCAATTATTTGGAGTCTCAGACCCATATATTTAAACTCTACTTAATGCATAACTTTAAAGGCCAGAATCTGCCAACTAGTTTATTCACATAAATAAAGTCTTGTGTGTTAAGTACAGACAGGATCAGGCCCTATATCAGTAATACAAGGAGTTAAAATTGACTTTGGGGTATCCCCCCAAACAAGATCAAAAATCTATAAAGCTAGGAAAATATCTGTGCTATATATAACAAAATCAACAGCATTGAATATATTGGTATGACACATCCTTATTATTGTCTTATGATGAGAAAATACCCTAAAGATTCTTCTAGAAAGTATGTATGCATATTAATTTATTCATAATACAAATCAGGTGGTTCATTTGCATTTTTGACCTAATACTCTAATTTTCTTCTGAATGAATTTTTGCCCCAGTACAGACTTATGCTGTCCCACTGAGGTAACTGTTTCATTTGCTGCAGTTCCAACAAGTTCAAGTTTTACTTATTAAAAAATCTAAATCAAAGTTTATAGTTCTTCTGATTTAGATTTTTAATAGAAAGTAAAAGCTTGACAAGTAGTGGCTACAGCTAAGATGCAATTAACCATGAGAATAAGCTGACCTTAGGGAAAGAATGGGGTGAAAGAGGAGAATAAGATGGCAAGTTAAGATAGAAAATAACACTGTAAAAATACTAAAATGAATTCTCTTTCAATACCAGACATTTTTATGTTAATTCAAAGTTATGAATATAAATAAATTATAATGTCTCACGTGTGGCACAAATGGTTCAGAATATCAAGTCCAGAATTTAATCAACAGTTTAACACAGTGTTAAAGAGAACATTTCCAAATAAACATATAAGTAGGACAGAGCATGGGGCACTCCTTTGGCCTCCATCCACCATAGGATTATGTGTACGTTTGGACAAGATGAACCTTAACTGCCAACACTGCCAACTGAAATTACTTTTAGGCATTTTTTTCTCTCCTTTAATGTCTGCCCAAGACAGCAACACATACCAGCATTACAGCACTGTATTTCATTCATATGTTGCAGCTTTCCTGTGGGGAGAACTGACAGAGAGACCTGGCTGCTATCCCTTCCACTCTCCTTCTCGTCTCCACACAGAAGTAGTTTCAGGTCTCATCTCATAGGCCTTCTTCATCTTCACTTGCCCCATATCTTTGGGGGAGATGACAAACAGATTACTAATATTCTCCTTCTGAGCTTCGTGCCTCCCCTTCACTGCCTTCTTCTTCATGGCCTCATGGTTCCCCCCTTCCTCAGGTTCTTTTATCTTTTTCTATCCAACCTAGGTCTTATACAACAACAACAACCATAATAATAAAAAGATTTTCATGTTCTTTTCATCAATGAAAGTTCAGAACAGTCAACTTTTTACAGGGTTTGATATTTCATGACTTTTTAAGTGATTAGCTATAATGTGTTAACTCATATGAGATGGTGGGTTTTAATTTAACATGTGAAAATTGAGTATCAGTTGATGGCTTTACTTTTAAAAGCAGGAGTCTGATGTTAGTTGACCCTTTGTATGGGATAAATAAGATTTCCTATGACTCTCCCTTAAAGCATCTCTTAACAGGAGTACAATTTAAATTTGCATGAATACTGTCACTGAGACTTGCCTAATGTTTTTCTTTTATTTATTATGTATGTGTTCCATGCAGACTCCCAGGCCTTTAAACATCATTAAGCAGAACAATGGTGAACAGATCATTAGGAGACGGACGAGAAAGCGCCTTAACCCAGAGGCACTTCAGGCTGACCAGCTAAACAAACAGCAGAGGGGTAGCGGTGAAGAACAAGTCAATGGAAGCCCATTAGAAAGGAGGTCAGAGGATCATTTAAGCGAAGGTCACCAGAGAGAAATTCAGCTTCCCAGCCTGAGTAAATATGAGGCCCAGGGTTCATTGACTAAAAGCCATTCTGCTCATCAGCAAATGTTGGTCAGCCAAACTCTGGATATTCACAAAAGGATGCAACCTTTGCACATTCACATAAAAAGTCCTCAGGAAAGTACTGGAGACCCAGGAAACAGTTCATCAATATCAGAAGGGAAAGCAAGCTCAGAGAGGGGCAGCCCAATAGAAAAATACATGAGACCTGCAAAGCACCCAAATTACTCGCCACCAGGAAGCCCTATTGAAAAATACCAGTACCCACTTTTTGGACTTCCATTTGTACACAATGACTTTCAGAGTGAAGCTGATTGGCTGAGATTCTGGAGTAAATATAAGCTGTCCGTTCCTGGGAATCCACACTACTTGAGTCATGTGCCTGGCCTACCAAATCCTTGCCAAAACTATGTGCCTTATCCCACCTTTAATCTGCCTCCTCATTTTTCAGCGGTCGGATCAGACAATGACATTCCTCTTGATTTGGCGATAAAGCATTCCAGACCTGGGCCAACTGCAAATGGTGCCTCCAAGGAGAAAAGTAAGGCACCACCAAATGTAAAAAATGAAGGTCCCTTGAATGTAGTAAAAATAGAGAAAGTCGATAGAAGTACTCAAGATGAACTTTCAACCAAGTGTGTGCACTGTGGCATTGTCTTTCTGGATGAAGTGATGTATGCTTTGCATATGAGTTGCCATGGTGACAGTGGACCTTTCCAGTGCAGCATATGCCAGTATCTTTGCACGGACAAGTATGACTTCACAACTCACATCCAGAGGGGCCTACATAGGAACAATGCACAAGCTGAAAAGAATGGAAAACCTAAAGAGTAAAACCTTAGCACTTAGCACAATTAAACAGAAATAGGTTTCCTTGATGGGAATTCAATAGCTTGTAATGTCTTGTGAAGATCTATAAAGCACTTCATATAGAGAGCATGCCTTATCCAATATAAAAACCCTTCCTTCTTTCCTTCCTTCCTTCCTTTGTGGGTTGCCAAGAAGGAAACAATGAATTGGATGGTGGCTTGATGGGGAAAGGGATAATCATTTGGGACATGGCCCACCAAACTATCCAGAATGCAGTGAATCAGGACAAATATCAATCACTGGGAATCTTGTATTTCCAGACAACTAATACCTTTTGTGTAAGAGACATAACTAGCTAGAATGCAAAGATGTGTGTATATATATACTGCTGCAGGAGTATAGTGAACATATGCACACTGTATATAGGAAATAGATTTATTAAATATACAAGTGTTCAGAAATCATTTAAATATTTTTAATTTGGACTAATTTCTGCCTTAAAACATGCCTTAGTCACTTTGTCCTCAATAATTTGGCAGTGATTTCATCCAGATTTAAGACTCAACCAATTTTTTAGCTACCATTTTAACACTACACTTTTTCTGGCACATTGTTATCTAAGAAAAGATAATGTTCAAATGAATTATCTCTAATACAAGAGCCACACTGGGCTTAATTTGCATAGAACAAGGTAACCTGCTGTATTTCATTTTTTTTCTGATTAACTCTTCTTTCTAAACTTTGGAGTTTAGGGTTACTTCTCCACAAATGTAATGTTGTTATACATACCAGTCAATCCCTTCAATAGACTTATACCAGCTTTCGCTAAGTAGCATTAAATGTCTTCATAATACCTTTTAATACTTAAAGCTTTGTAAAAACTATCCATGAAGGGAAAGCTCCTCAGCATAACTGCTCAGGGAAATAGGGCTAAATAACTAAATATTAAATAATTGGTTAAAGGTGCTGTTAGACAAGCCTCCATGCTTGCTATGAGGGTGTACAAGAACTGACTTTAATCATTTTCATAATAGTGTCCCAACCAGTAGTTTATTATTTTGCCATGGGGATGTAGAAGATATTACAAGCTACTGGATGCACTGTCAGATTAACTTATTTCATTAAAGAAGTTGGGAGAACAAATAGAAAAAATCTTATTTTTCTAGTAAATATTAATGTATTACATTTCAAATAATGGTGCCTGACATATTGAATAATTATTTTCTACAGTGTACGTATGCAACAAAGATATTCCATCATGCATTAGAGTCAGTTCTGACTCTGCCTCGCTGTTTACATTTGCAAATGTAGCAAACAAGGTAATGAAGCAACTATTTCTATTGCAGTAGGTATCTCTTTTTTTGTGTGTGTGCATTAAAGTTGTAAACGATAACATGAAATGACTGAAATTTGTTGATATTAATGGTATGGAAAAACAAGAAGGAAATGAAAATATTTTTTATGCCTACTTAGGAAAAAAAGGGTAGCACTATTCATTCCAAGTACTTTTGTATTCTTAAGCTCTTAACTCACATTGTTATGCTTAAAATGATAAACATATATCCTCTTTTTATTGCTTTGTCTGTGTTTCAGAAGAAACATTTCAGAAATTATTTTGATAAGTGCTGTTGGACTATGCAGCATTGATGTTTTTATTGCATTCTGTAGTAGCATTGCACTCCATTTTTACAATATTATGCAGTTGCTTTTTTGTTTTGTTTGGGTTTGTTTCTTTCGCAGTGCAGGGTCTTAGTTCCTTGAGGTCGGATGGCAGGTTTAGGTCAACTGGTTCATGAATGTTGCAGCGAATGAAGTTTAAAATATCATTCTGATATTATGTTGTCTTCTATTTCTCCATTTGTGCATTTTATTTTTAAAAATGTTCTATAAGAAAGTATCTCGGGACTAAGTCCTTCACTTAAGATTATATATAAAGCGTCCTATTCTGATCTCATTTATATGCCACCTATCTCAAATTGTCATGTAATTGAAGTTAAAGCATCCTATAAAAAAGGGTCCTTGCATTTAACTTACACAAAACTGACCATTCTCCCCCTCTAGAAATTGGTGCACTTATGAGACACTTAACCAGGTAGAACTAGGAAGCTGGAAAATGAAAGAGGGGCGAGGGTGATGGGAAATGTCTGAAAGCATTTGACAGAAGTTTAAACCAGGGAGGAGCAGGCCTAAACATATAGCACTTTGATAGTCTCTTGAAAAAATGTGCCTAAATTAAAGCAGACTGCAAGAAGAAATGTCATCATGCATGAGAAGCACTTACACAGCCGATCACTAAAGGTCTCACTGACCTTGGCACCATTTTAAGTGTTACATTTTCCCACAGGTGAAATGTTATTGAACAACCCCTCTGATTTGTTAGGCACAAACAGGCTATTGTTTTAGCATCAGGCTAACATTCCTTCCTGCTTCCACCTAGTTTCTTTCACAACAGGCATGGTCACTGGTGACCAGTGTATGGAAAATCCCATTCAGCCCATTCAGGTCGAGATCTATAACCCTTCATAAAGTTCCAGCTTGGCAAAGGATATTGGGTCACATTCCTCCTCCTCTGTTTCTAGATGAATCTCCTGCTTGATACCAGTGCCAGAAAGTGACTGGTTGTGTTTATTATTGTTCCCCAACAATAGCTCCGTTCTTTTGTTTTTTGTTCTGAGGGAACTGAGATAGCTTGTCCTCTTCTTGTATGTCAGGGTCCGGTGTGTGTCCTAATCAGATTCCTCAAGAAATTCATTAGACTTTACTAGCAGCAACTGCTGGCTTCAGAAGAGGCTGCCTCAAGGTAATCAGCACAGTTACTGTGTTGGGATACTTATGTCTTAGCAATTCCTGTGGCTTCTCTACTGATGAAAGCTGCATCTTCCTGGCAAAATACTCCCTAATGTACATGTTTGTCATAAGGACTTGTGCACAAACCTTTATGTCATTACACCACTTGCTGAACTAAAAGCAGAGGCCGGTAGGGGAAAATACACATATCAAAGTCTGGAAATAAGGAGAGATACAAGCTTGTAAGTGTAAAGAGCAGGATAGAGTTCTGAATGTTAATGTTGTACTATAGTGTACAAAGGAAATTTGTAAAATGTACCTGTTGCTCTTGCCATGACATATTGAGATGTTCTGAAGCTTCCACTTTTGAGACTTGGTTCTAACCAGTTCATAAAAAGAGATATGAAAGGATTGAAATCAAAAAAATATCTTCCGTAACAGCTCACAGTTTGAAGTGTGATAGCATTTGATGTTAATTACTATGCATAATGCATTTTAATACACATCAGTTTACAGCTCTGAAACATCAAGTTCTACATTTTCAAAAGTGTCAGTTGTGCTTATTCCTGCGAAATGTAAAGTCAAGACTCGTTCATCCCATTTTAATCAATTAGGAGTGCTTATCATGTCTGAAAATCTATTATAGGTTGGATCCCTAAAAGAGAGTGCCTTTTGAAAGCATAAATTCATCCTGTTTGCTTTTAAAATACCTGAGAAGGACCATTGCTCTTTATTTAAGAATCTCAATATTTCTAGCTAATCAAATTAACACTCTATGTAGCCTAACTCCGTGCTAGAGTATCCCTTGCAAATTGTACTGATTTCAAGGTGTCACTTGAGTGCTACCCAGTAGATCAATAAAAACAAAGGAGATGTTCCAAAGAGTGCATGGTACTTAGGCACCTAACTCTAATTGGTTTTCAATAGGGATTTGATATCTAACTCCTTGTTTTGCTTGTGAAAATCTCCCATTAAATTGTCATGAGTATCTCATGCTCACTATACTGAAAGATTGCTAAGGGAAGTTAGAGATGGTGTGCCCACTCTTCTGCCTGAAAATAAGGTGCAGTATGAGGTGCTAGCCATTAGGAAAGGGTATATGGAGATGAGATGAATGAAAACTTCCTGGATGAGATAAAAGAGTTGACAAAAAGAGCTGGATGTGTAATGATAAAGAAAGAGCAGCACTAAAAAAAATATAACGATAAAATGTAAAGGCCATGAAATGGGATGACCTGATTTGGCAACTGTAAGTGGGTAGAAAGGTTAGAGACAAGCTCACCAACAAATTTTCTGATGGAAGAATGTTACTTAGTTGGGTAATAACTGGATTTGGTGCCAGAGGATATGGCCTAGCACCTGTTTTGCCTCCAAGTTTCTGATGTCCATCAAAATAGCATTCTGGTTTTTTGCTTCCTCCTTTTGCTTCTGTATTGATTTTTTTCTTGGCTCACTTAGCATGTTTCTTTATAATACCAGTCAGAATAAAAGCCAAAGAGAATAGAAGTTTAGTTCTATAGAACCAGAAAAGGTGAATATGTTTTTCTTTGTTCCAGTAGAGAGAGTTACTTTTGGCAGGTGTCAGCATTGGACTTGTCAACCTACTCACTATATAGATAGAAAATTGGAAGTCACACCATTCCCATAATTTCCATATGCAGAAATTTGACTATGTGGAATAACTGAACATGTACAGGTGAGTAGTGGGCCAAGTGGAATAATTTGTATAGATTGTTACCATCAGAGAATGGGATTTTCCTCCTTCTTGTAGATATTGATTAGATTCATAAGCTCTCAAAAATTGACAGTTGCTGAGGTGCTACATAATATCCATATACCTTATATAACTGGTTATATGATTTATCTCTTATTAGGAGGCTAAAAAAATAGAATTCCTCCCAAAAACTTTGTCTACCATGAAATAAATGCATTTGGTAAGTTAAGCTAAAATGCTTAGAATAGACATTGCAGCAGCTGCCACATATTGTATAATATTCAAGTTTTCATATTGTTTCCCATCACTGTAGTCTCTGAGCCCCTGTCCAGGAAGAGGATGGGGGAAAGGAAACATCTCAAAATGTCATTGTAAATTTAACTTACAGCAAAATTCACCAGCAGAAAAAAGGAATGATTTCATATTGCTAAACAAACACTCTCTAAGCATATAGCGCTGATTTGGCTCTTATTGTTTTGTCCTTACAACACATGATGTGTTTTTTGTTTCATTTTGTTTTGGTTTGGTTTGGTTTGGTTTTCATAGTGCATGTTCATTTCTACTCACAAACATGTTCTTGGTGTATTTCTTATGCAAACAATCTTCAGGCAGCAAAGATGTCTGTTGCATCTAAACTTGAATAATAAAGTTTTACCACCAGTTATAAATAAGGTTTGTGTCATTGTTTATGGGGCAACTGTAATATCAGTACAGCACAGAGATGCTGGAAGAGAAAGAGTCAAGACCTGGCCTGAATTGAGTCAATGTTTTATCTATGACCACCTCTTTCTGAAGGCCAACAGTTTGAAAGGCAGAGATACCATTGGCTGAACAATAATATTGACACCTCAAATTATGTTACAACAAATTCCAAGTTAAGGACTCTGTGCTCTAAACCTTATTGAAGTCTATGGAAAGACTTCCAGTGGAAAACAACTTGAGTGGGCTTTAGATCAAACTATGAGCCTGGCATTATATTTCTAATATTGGTTTAATTACTTACCCTGCACAAAGAAGGGACAAGAACCAGCAAAGAGGAAATAGCCTGGTGAAGGGCTGATATTGGAATTTGACCAGGAATGCAGACTTCACACGTAAGTTTACTTTGCATAAAGTCTGATGTGATCTTTAAATAATTTCATGTAGTCAGGATCTTGGTTTTGCATCTTGTCCGTAAATCAGCATCTTCCACAGAACAATGTCTCTGTGATCATATAGATCATAGATTAAATAGTGACTTGTAAAAGAAGAATGCCACCTACAAAGTCACCAGCACCACTTCCTGCTATAGTCTTGGACGTTTCCTCAAAGATCTTTCACCTAAATAGTGACTAAGTCAACTTTCATTAGTGTTTATGCTCTGATGAGATCATAGACCATGGTGGTATGACTCCCAACCATTTTTCTACTATGCTGTAATTTTATTTCTCCACAGGTTTGTCTCATCTCCATGGCTGAAAGCTATTACTTCTGATTCTTTTCTTTTTGGGGGTCCTTCTGTAACAAGTCATTTAGCAAAACTTGTAGATTTGTTGAAGTCTGAAAGGGCCTTCTGCTTTGGCCTCAAACTTGCAACTTCTGGGTTGCCAACCATGCACTGTAGCACCCACACCTCCACAACTCCTGTTACTTTTCATGCAGCGTATTGCTTTAAAGTTGCATGAAATGGTGAAATCAGCATACAAGAGTAGAGCACAAAAATTCTAGAACTCAGTTCTTATCTCATTATGCCAATAGTTAGGCCTGTGTGAACAGAGAAGTATTTGGTTCAGATTCAGCCAATTTGGAGGACAGTGATTCAATTGGGAGATTCAGATCATTGTTCTGAACTGATTCAGCTAAATCGGCTTTGGAAGATTTGGCGCTGATTCGGAAAGATTTGGTGATTCGGACTGGCTGGGGGGAAGCAGGCACGGATGAGTGGCTGCAGGTTCTCCCGTAGGTCCTCTGGCTGTGCCTGCCTCTCCCTGGGTGGGGGAAGCTGTGGGAGAAGCCCCCATAGCTGCTCTGCCCAGTCCCATCCCCTGCCCAGGCCCAGCCTAGTCCCAGCACTAGGGAGCAGGGGCTTTGCCCTGTCACCACTTGCCAGCTGGCATGGGAAGTGTGAGATGTGGGCGCAGCAGCTCTGGGAGCAGAGGCCACTTGCCCCCTTCTGCCTGAAGCAAGCCAAACCTGCATCTTGCCCCCCACAACCCTGGCTGGGCAAGCAGCAGCAGGGCAGAGCCCCTGCCCCCAGTGCTACTGTGCCTGCATCCTGCACCCCCACCCCCCTTCCTGGGTAACCCCCTGGGGAACCCCCCCCCCCCCCCCAGCCTTGCAGCCTTTCCCCGCC